AGGTTTGTATATAACATCTGCATACAGTGGTCTATTTCAAGTTGATGGTCACTTAAGTTTGAACCCATTCTTTATTTCTTTCCTCCCACCCCTGCTATGTCCTATTTTACATCCTTTTATTTTGTGAATCCCTTGACTGATTTTTACAGGCATACTTATTTTTTTACTGCTTTTGTGCTTCCTTCTTTTATTCTTACTTATAGTCTTTCTTTCCACTCAGAGTCCCCGTTATCATTTCTTGTAGGGCAAGTTTCGTGGTGATGGTAGTTGGGAAACTCTCTTATTCTGAATAATGGCCTTGCTGGATAGAGTACCATTGGTTGCAAATTTTTTCCTTTCAGCACTTTGAATATATCATGCCACTCTCTTCTGGCCTAAAAAGTTTCTGCTTAAAGATCAGCTTATAACCTTAGGTGTTTTTTTTTAATATATATGTAACTGTTTTGCTGCTCTTAAAATTCTCTATCACAACATTTTGCCATTTTAATTACTATGCGTCTTGGTGTGGACTTCCTTGGGTTTATTTTTGTTGGGAACTCTCTGTGCCTCCTGGATCTGGATAGGTTTCCTTCCCCAGATTAGGGAAATTTTTAGTGGTTTCTTCAAATAGACTTTTCTGATCCCTTTTCTCTCTTCTCCTTCTGGGATCTCTTAATGTGAATATTATGCTTTATGGGGTTACTGAGCTCCCTAAGTCTGTTCTCATTTTGCCTAATTTTTTTTCTCACCTGCTCAGCTTGATTACTTTCCATTATTACTGTCTTCCATGTTGTTAACTGGCTCCTCTCCTTTCTTTAGCCTGTTATTCCATCTAGTATATTTTTAAATTTCATTTGTGTTCATCTCCAGTTCTTTCATCTTTTAAGATTTATTTATTTTAGAGTGCATGTGCATGCATGTAGTGGGGGGAGAGGCAGAGAGAGGGAGAGACAGTCACAAGCAGATTCCATGCTGATCCCAGAGCCCAGTGCAGGGCTTGATCTCACAAGCCTGAGATCACAACCTGAGCTGAAAGCAAGAGTCAGATGCTTAACCAACTGCACTACCCATGGGCCCCTCTGGTGTCTGTTTTGTCTTATTTTTAAATCTTTCTGTTAATATCTCTGATATCCTCCACTCTTAAGTGCATTGAGTATCTTTATGATCATTACTTTAAATTTTTTGTCAGGCATATTACTTATATTCACTTTGCTTATGTCTTTTGTTGTGGTCTTTACCTGTCCTTTCATTTGGGACATTCCTGTCTCATTTTGTCTAATTCTGTGTCTGTTTCTGTGTTTGGAAAGTCAGCTATGTCTCCTGCTCTTAAAAATAAAAGCCTTATGAAGGAAAGGTTCTGTATTATCCTGCAGTGCAGTGTCCCCTCTTCACTAGAACCTGGTGCTTCAGGAGGTATCCCATATGTGTGTTGTGTGTGCCCTGCTGTTGTGGGGATTCATCTTTTTTTGTGTGTGTGGGATCCCTGATGTGATTTCTCTCCATTTCTGGGGCTCCTCACACCCCATGAAAAGCTACAGTCAGTTTTGCTCCCCACTGCCCTTCTTATTCTCTCCAATATGGCCTCTTGTATACTTTTGTGGAGTTTGTTGTGCCAGTCTTCAGGTGATTTTCTGGGTTATTTATGCTGTTGAGTGTTATCCATTTTTATCTGTGGGATGAGGTCACCTTAGGGTTCTCTTACACTCCATTTTCCCTATGATTGGAAATAGTCCATTTGCATTTAAAGTAATTATTGCAGGTACGTATTGACATTTTGTTAATTCTTTTTCAGTTTTTGTAGTTCGGTATCTTCTGCTTTTGTCCCTTGTGCTTTGAAGGCGTTCTTTAGGGTTATGCTTGGATTCCTTTTTCTTTCTTTGTGTATGTGTATTAGAGGTTTTTGATTTATGATTACCATTAGGTTCATATGTCATCTTGTGTATACAGCAGTCTTTATTAAGTTGATAGTCACTTAAGTTTGAACACATTCTAAAAGCACCTAATTTTTCATCCCCCTTCCATATCTTCTGTATATGATGTCATATTTCGCATTATCTTATTTTGTATATCCTGGACTGGTTTTTTGTAGATAAAGCAGATTTTACTATTTTTGTGTGTGAAAAAACTGGCTTTATAGTTGAATCTACTACCTTAATTAGATGATTACTTTTATTGTGAATTTTTTTTCCTCTTATAATTTTCTTCTAGTTATGGCCTTTTCTTTCTACTCAGATAATTCCCTTTAACTTTTCTTATAAGGCTGGTTTAGGGGTGATGAACACCCTTAGCTTTTGTCTAGGAAACTTTTTATCTCTTCTATTCTGAATGATAACCTTGCTGGGTAGGGTATTCTTGGTTGTAGGTTTTTTCCTATCAGCAATTTGAATAGATCATTTCATTCCCTTCTGGCCCGCAAAGTTTCTGCTGGAAAATAAGCTGATGGTTTTGTGGGGTTTCCCTTATATGTAACTATTTCCCTTTGCTGCTTTTAAAATCCTCTTATTCCATTTTGCCATTTTTGGTATTCATGTGTCTTGATGTGGACCTCTTTGGGTTCATCTTATTAGGATCTCTGTTTCCTGGATCTGGATGTCTGCTTCCTTCTCCAGTTTAGGGAACTTTTTTAGTTATTTCTTCAAATAAACTTTCCACCCCTTATCTCCTTCTGGGATTCCTACGATGTGAATTTTATATGCTTGATGATGCTGCTGAGTTCCCTTAACCTATTATTTTTCACCTTTTGCTGTTCAGCTTGGTTCTTTTCCATTACCCTGTCTTCCAGATCAGTGAGCTGTTCTTTTGTCTCCTCTAATATGCTATTGACTCCCTCTAGTTTTTTGTTCTTGTTACTGAATTCATCTGATTGTTTTTATATTTTCTTTGTTGATGATCTCACTCTCATCCACTCTTAAGTCCAGTGAGTATTTGTGACCATTACTTTGAATTCTCTATCATATTGCTTATCTCCATTTCTTTTAGTTCTTGTGCTATGACTTTTGTCCTGTTCTTTCATTTGGGACATATTCCTATTTTCCTCACTTTGTCTTTTTCTGTGTTAGGGAGGACAGCTGTGTCTCCTAGTCTTGAGAGTAGTTGCCTTGTATAGAAGTTCAGTGGTTCCCTGTAGTGCCATGCCCTCTAGTCATCAGAACCACACAAGCTAGTGGTGTCTCCTATGTGGGTTGTGTATACCTTTCTGTTGTGTCTACCTGTGTTTGTTTTCAGCCCAGTCAGCTGCAATGACCCACTTTGCCTACTGTGGGTGCACTGGGCAGGGTTTGGTCCATGCAGCATTGAGGGGCCTGTATAAGGCCTCTGTGGGCTCATAGGTGGGCAGGATCAGCAGTCAGGCTAGTTGTCTGGAATTAGCCTCTCTGTGTGAGTATATCAGATGACCAGCCTTTCTCCCTGTGTGGCTCAGAGGCTTTCATTCGTGGGCGGGATTGGCAGTCAGACTGGGTATCTGCAACCAACCTCTTTGTTGCAAGCACACCTAATAGCGGGCTTTCTCCCTGTGTGATTGGCTAAAAGGCTTGGCTGCCAGAACTGTGGGCAAACTGGTGTGTGGGATTATTTCCTCCTCCTCTCCAGGGCAGTAGTCACTTTGGAGTGGTGCTGGTCCCCACTGGGGCAGCTTGCTTGGTGTGGTGGGGGTAGGAGTGACTTTGTAGGGATGGCTGCTGAGGCAGGTGGGTTGGATGGGGCAGGTCTATAAGGGAGCATTGGGGGTGGGGCATGTGGTGCTAGCAAGATTGGAGGAGAATGTCACCGCAGGCTCCCATAATTGTCCAGCTATGTAAGCTGAGGGAGAGGAACAGAAATGGTGCCCAACAGCATTTTTGTTCTTGGAGAAGTCTCCTAAAGATTCCTGCCCCTCCACCACATATTCTGAGATTAGTAAATAAATCTCTTCAATGTATGCCCCAGGTGGTTTTGAAACGGCTACTTTTTTGCCATGTCTCAGGCCAGGTTATTATGCTGACTCTGAGGGTGGGGACTCTTTTGTAGAATTCATGTTCTTTTATGTTTTTGTGATAAGTTATGTGCTTCTTAAATCTTTCCTGAAGTAAGCACTTTTTAAAAAGTCCCTTTTCTGCTACTTAATGGCAGTGTTCCTCTTTCCCTTTTGTAGGGCTCTATTTGTTTTCTTTACTATGTAAATGAGAAGACTGACACCTGATATTTGCTAACTAACAGGGTACATAAATGTCTTTAGGATCTTCTGTCCATCTGGGCTGTGTTGAAATCTTCAAGTTTTAAACTGGCAGGCAAGTTGTTGGCATAGCTCCTAGACAAATTTCTGGTTTCCAGAGATCATTCAGCAGTATCAATCTGGCTTTTTTTTTAATGGAAGAGGAATCTTTTTTTACTTCTATTTTCTGGTTTTGGGTTCCTACAATCTCATGAGTTCTATGGGGGGTAAATATGACATGTGATGAATAATCCATATATAAAAATTGCACATTTGAACCTATAAAAGTAATGCTAGGATCTTACCATAAATTTTTGTACCTTTCATAAGTGTATACTGTCATTTTAATGTGCATAAATGAAATCATAGCATAGAGGATAATCTCATACCCATTTCTTTTACTATGTACTGACCTATAAATAACTGAAGTTTCCATAATTATGCTGTTTAATAAAGGCCAATACTTTGTTCAAACCCTACTTCTGTTAGCATAAGACCTCAAAATTTTTATTTTAAAAAAACATACAACGTAAGAAACAACAGAAAACTGTGCAGTAGCTACTCTTTGTATATCTGTCTGGACAAAAAAGTAGCTTTGCTTAAGATAGGGTAATCACACACAGTCACACTTTGTGTATGCTGTTCTTTTCCTCAATGAGGGTCTATGCAATGCAAGTGTATTTTGTCCCTGTTTTATTGCCCAGATTGTTTTAATTTCTAAAATGGTTATTGCTTTCATGGCTTTTCCAGTGTCTGCCACTTCCTGTTTTGTGGGAGTCCTTTCCTTATTCTTAGTATCAATTTGATTCTTCTAAAATTATGCTTTCAGGGAAAATTCAGATGTTGGATTCCTTCATATTTACCTTAGGATTTCTGGTGACAGAAAAGACTGTAAATCATTTCATTCAGCAGGAGGTGAGTTGCAAATAACAAAACTGATAACAGCAGCTCTAAACACCTTAGAGAGGGTTGTGCAATAGGCCTCCATGTTTCTTCCCTGTAAATACTTTCTCCGACTCCAGGCTTTGAAAACTTTGAACTCCATTTTGCGTACCGTGCCTCGGGAAGAGCGAAGACAACTGTCCTTGTTGGAAGGCCCACGTCATCTTATGTAAGTGACCTTGTACTTGATTATGGGATGATGTAAGGGTAAAACCTCTCTGGATTGTACTACCTCTGTCTTTGTTCTCCTTAGACCTAACACCTTCATTGCTTCTTTCAGTAAATGTGTGCCTACTGTATACAGGCATTGTGCTAAGCAGCGAAGGAGGAGTAAAGGAAAAAGCTAGACTTTGCTAAGTTCTTCTTTAGTAGTATGTTTATCAAGTTTATGAGTTGAGATGCTTTCTTGGGCCATAGGATATTGTTTTCTCTGTGAATGTGAGTTAAATTAGTGACTCATGGAGAATGTTAAGAGTACAGACTCTGGAGCCAGACTGCTGGGCTCCAAATCCTGGTTTTGCCACCCCTTTGCTCACTAAAATGGAGCCAACCATAATCCCTTGATTGATAGTTATTATACAGGTTGACTTAAGCAACCTACTGAAAGTGATGAGCATGCTACTAAGTAGCAAATTCTCAAAGGCTACCAACTTTTAGCTATGCCAATGTAATTTGTATTGCTTTTCAACAATGGAAAAACAGTGGATTTTTGTTTTTTGATGACCGTTATAATTATGTATTTCTTGGGACATTGAAATTTGGAGGTAAAATTATAATGTGTGGCCATGGAAAGAGTAAAACCAGCACCCATTTTAAAATTTGAAACTAAATGTTACTGTATTAACCACTAACCAGCCTCATTGATATATTGTGGCATGCCATCACTCATGTGACAAGCAGCCATGACTGATGAGAGGAAGGGCAACCAAGTTTGTCCTATTGTAGGCCTGAATGAAGTGATGGTGAGCATGGAGCCCACTGCTTTCATGTTTGTCCATTTAACTAATGTTTGCAGCATGCAGTTTTTCTACTGAATATTTCTTTAAAAATATTTGACTACATTAATTTAATCATTACTCTTAATGTTATATTTAGAATTGGAGAACAACTGACCTGAGGTTTTCTCATAAGTTTTCAAACTAATCCTATGATCCTGCCTTATTGTTTGTGTGTTATAGAAAGTCTGGAATGTTCTGGACTTCTGGTTAGATGTGAAGTCTGCAAGCACAAAGCAGTGGTACTATTTTAAGGCTTCTTTTTAATAGTAACAACTCAATCTGTTTATGAGAAACTGAACTACGAGATTTCTTGGCCAATCTATTCTTTAAAATGGGAGTTATTTCAGACATTAAAAGACCAGTATCATACTTGTTAGCATTTAGTTGAAATTGTTAAATGAATATAGGATATGGGAGTCTGTTAAATGTAATAGGGTTAGGTTATTACATGATAAATAATAAATTTATCAGTTTTTCAAAGCAGTTCAAGACCTCACTGGAAAGACAGCACCTACTGTAGTATTTCTTTCAGGTATCAACTATGTTTTTAAAAAGATTATACAAAAAATATAGACATGCAAGTTGGTGAGGTGACTATAAAATTCCAGAATCTTAGCATTTGATAATCTTCAGACATCCTCCAATTGAATTCACTTTACAGAAGGAAAAATAGAACCTCTGAATGTATAATAACTCTAGCTTCTTTTAAAAAGTACATTTAAGTCACTAACAATTTTTCCATGAAGATATATTCTTGACATTTAAGAAATTCTGATGATGAATTTGAAATAATTTCAAAAATGCACATCATGGTGGGGGGCCATGGGTGGCTCAGTCGGTCAAGCATCTGCCTTTGGTTCAGGTCATGATCTCAGGGTCCTGGATCGAGCCTGTGTTGGGCTGCCTGCTCAGGTGGGAGTCTGCTTCTCCCTTTGCCTCTGCCCCTCCCCTCAGTTCATGCATGTGCTCTCCTCTAATAAATAAAATCTTTAAAAAATATTAAAAATATACATCTTGGTTTTAAATTTTAATACCAATATAGTAAAGTTTTATGTACATTTCAGTAAAATGTAATTTATCTAAATGTTTCAGGAAAGACCTGGCAAGGACGATCTTGACTGTGGGTGGTAAGAAGTGTTTAGAATTTTAAATATTAGTGTATTACATATTGGACTCTTGGGGGTTTTGTGAGCATCTTAAAACTATGGGTAAAAATTATGGTCAAGTTGAAAATAGGAATAGCACTTCATTTTTAATTTATTATGAAAACTTTTAGCATGCTGAAAGCCATGAAGAATAATTCATGAATACTTATTTCCTCACCAAACAGCCTAGTCAAATTTTATCATTTTGCCACATTTACTTCATCTTTAAGTAAAATCAGTTACAGGTAAAGCCCCTGGTACACATGTCCCTGATCCCATTTTCCCATCCATTAGTAGAGGTAATCCTTCTTGGATTTGTTTTTCATTCAAAAGTATGTTTTTCTACTTTTGTTCTACATATTCATAAACAAGATACATTATTTTTTTCTAATTTTATTTAAATTCTAGTTAACATATAGTGTAATATTAGTCTCAGGAGTAGAATTCAGTGATTTGTCACTTCATACATTGTTTTGCAAATTTTAAAAGCATTCTGTAAATGTCCTCCTATTGTACATACCCAGCTGCAACTTGCTTTTTACTTTTAAAATCATTTGAAATTTAAACATGTTAGATGTGGTTTTTATCAGTCATGAAATATCATAATTTATCTTATTTTTGTAATAGAAATATTTTTAAGCCTGTTTGAGTTGCTTTTGATGCATGTTTTAATATAAAACATAAAGTGCAGAAGTATGTTTTGTTATATGCTGGCCTATTTAGATTTTCTGCTAATGTTTCTTAAATATTGAATTTAAGTAAAATGCTCTAGGATACATCTTACTGCTTATAACTGTAATATACAATGCTAGTCTTCTAAGATGGAATTTCTTGGAACACGTGGTAATCTGTAGAACTCCCCCCCTTTTTTTTCTTTTGCTTTATGCCCATCCCAGAATGATCTACCATGTTCTTAATCTCTAGATTATGACCAGCAGGTTGCTCTTTCTGAAGCACTGTGTAGGCTGACCTTGAAAAAATCAAGGGGTGAGCTTGTCCATGAGTGGTTTGAAGATGATGTCATTGCTGAAGCTTTCAAAGAAATTAAGGATCGAGAATTTGAGACGGTGAGATTCCTGGTCATCAAAAGTCCATTTAACCAATACTTATTAAATCTCCTCAGTGTTTTCTTCAACACTGGGCTTAGGGGAGGAATTTTTCTTAAATTAAGAAATAGTTTAAGTGAATAAGTAGACATTCTTAAGCTTCCTGTTTCCCATTTATGTGAAATGATCTGAGGACTGTATGAACAGAAAATCTGTGCACCAAATATGGGCATATAGATAAAACTTTTTTTTTAAGGTAATTTGGACTGGAGACAGACGATGTGAATATGGTGGATCCAGTCCAAGAAATTGTCATGGAGTGGGGAGCAATTTTCAGTGCATCTCAGATGGTAGGGAGAGCTGGAAGAGAAAATGTGCATTTCAGCCTTGTACAGAGCAGCTGGGGCAATGAGGGGAGGTTGAAGTTGGCATGGGGTGTTCTAGTTGCAGAGGAGTATTATAGGTAGTTGTGTTTTGAGCCATTCGGCCTCTCTATTTTAGAGGAATAATAATATTCAGTGTTTTCCATGCAATCTGGGCTCACGGTGACTGTATTCCCAAATAGCACAAAAATAGCTTGTAGCTTTGCTGCATACTCACCTCCATCCTCAAATGGCTAAAATATTTTTCCTGTTCTTTCTAAAAGTTCTTAAAATGAAGGGTTAGGTCCTTAGAAAAAGGTAAAATTCTTAATAACCGTGCTCATGTTGAACCAAGCTTTTCTGGTCAAAACTGCTATGCAATTAGAATTTTATTAAATCTGAAATTGTAAATATATTATTAAAACTCTGAAAAACAAACTGAGGGTTCTAGAGGGAAGGGGCCTGGGGGGATGGGTTAGCCTGGTGATGGGTATTAAAGAGGGCACGTTCTACGTGGAGCACTGGGTGTTATGCACAAACAATGAATTGTGGAACACTACATCCAAAACCAATGATGTAATGTATGGTGATTAACATAACAATAAAAATTAAAATATATTATTAAAAATATTAACTACCAGATAAGTAGTAGTTGTTTAGCCAGTACTGAATTTGATCTAAATTGGAAGACCATAAGGCTCAGGTTTGAGTACTACTTCCCTGGCTTACATGATGTATGCCTTCTGGTAAGGTAGTTGATTTACAAAGCCTTAGTGTTATCTGTGAAATGGGAATAAAACCCACCTTAAAGTTGTGAGAACTGAATGAGAGAAACCAACATGCCTGGGATGTTAAACTCAGAGGTTAGTTCCCTTTTTCCCCCTCTATGTCATTCCCTCATGGTCAGGGAAATTTCATGAAAATAGGTCAAAAGTAACATTTTTCAAATCCTTTCCCCCCCCAGAGCCATTGACTTCTTAATGGAACTACTTTTAGGTCAGAGCTTACATTACTGCTGTCTATTTAGTGCTGCATTAAGATGCAGAGTGTAAGAATGGACTACAATAGCCAGTCCTCCCTAAGAAAAGGGACGAAAGCCTGGGTCAGTGTCTGTTCAGCTTTAGTATTTTGGAGGTAACAAATTTACCTTCTTACTTGCTTCTGGTCAGCAGAACTCTCTAAAAATAATCCTTATTCTCTGAACCTGTATGAGGAGAGAGAAACCAGGAAGGAATGGAATAGAAATAGAAAACTCATAAAGAAAACAGGCAGTGGATAATGCACCCAGAATAACCCCAAAATTGATAAGTTTATGGGTTTGTGGTTGGCTCATTCTGGGCAGATGTTAGCAAGATAGATGCCAATGGGTTAGCAAAACTATAATCTAGGTCACTAGTTAAATTTATTTCTTTTCCTCTTAACCCAGTGAAATGTAACTGTGCATATAACCTTTGGAGACTTAAAGCATTCCTCAGCTGAAAATCTCCTGGCTGGGGGTTCCTTCCAGAATTTGGGTCTGAAGCTTCCTCTTTCTAATACAAAGTATTGTTTTAATTAACCTGTAATAATGAATCGTGGTGGAACCTTGTGATGTTACTGGATCCTGGGAATTTAGAAGCAAACACTAGCGTCTGAATGCTGGTAAAAATATTTAAAACTTTTTTTCTTAAAGTTTGCATTATTTCTTTGAAGGATAGTAGACGGTTTCTCAATTACCTAAACAACAGACTTGGAGATGAAAGGAGGTAAGTATGTCTCTGGGTATCATTTTATTGACTAGTCTTATTTTGAAAATGTCTAATACTAGAAATCTAGGATATGTTTTATTTCAGGAGAGAATAGAAGATACATAACTTACTGATCACTATATTATCCATTGAATAGAAATATCAGGAGATTAGATCCATTCTCCATAGTGATTCATTTGTATGTGTTTAAAAATGATCTCTATCTGGTTTTTGTTTTGTTTTTAACATATTTACTTAACGATTTGGAATATTTTTAACATGTTTCCTGGGAGATTTTATGAAGTCGGTGGGGACAAGTTTGTTACAACGTTCTTGATGAGAATTTGCTAAATTCACTCCTCATTGGAATCTTGCCCAGCAACCTGGCAGAGAAACAGTACCAGTAAGCCTGGCTTGTAGACCACTACACTTGGCTTGTACGCTTGCCAGATGGAGACTAGAAATCTACCCAGAGTAGTATCCATTTGCAGGTTTGAGACCCTCTTCCATACGTTGTGCAAAGAGATTTAATAGCATAACCTAGATAAAAATGCTCATTATAGAACATCTGTAGGTTGTGTTTGGGATTGACCCACGTTATATTTTTTTTACATTGTCAAGTGTTTTGCAGGGTCTATTCATTTCCGTGTATTGCTGCCTTTGCTGATGGGCACGAGGTATGTTCGTCTCTGGGGACTGTGAGGGGTATATATGAGTCTCATAGACCCCAAGTTAGGTATATATAATTAGGCCAAACTGCTCTCCCTACAAAGGGCTTTTTAGAAAAGGAAGCTTACTTTTAGAGACCTCAGTTCTGAAGCCTTTCTTCACTTGTCTTCTCTCCTACCATAACTGGGATGCATTACTAATAAATTTAAGGGCCCTACTGTCAATACCAGTATTAACATAATATTCCAGATACAGGAATTTTAGGGTTGATACTGTGTTCATGAGCTCTATTACAGAAATCTGGCATTATTTTACCCTACTAATGGGTACTATTATTCATGTCTGTATTGTAGGGAAAAGGGCAATTCCCTTGCTTCTTTCCATCCATTTGATGCTCCCCACTTTATCCACAGAAATAGGGGGTACTCTTTTCATTAGATACTTCTACCTTTTACTTTACAGTTTAAGGGTGAGCAGTTTCTTTTTACCATCTTCTTTGGTTTCTAAATGAACAAGGTCAACCTACATCATCTCCACAGGGGATAAATTCTTCAAGGACCTCTAAACCTTGACTCAGTTGAGGTTTCCTGGACCTTGTCTTCAAAATGTCCTAATCAAACATTTCTTTGCTTTGGGTTTAGAGGCTGTTTCTTGGCCTCTGGGAGCTGAGCCTTTAACCCCTGACTATGCCACAAGTTTTTTCTCCCTAGGACTGATTTTAGTAGCCTGATTGATTTTCTGTATCTCTATTCTTTTTTTCTTCTTGTTATCTGAAGGTTCTAGTATCTGCTTGGTGGTAGGTTTTTGGTTTTTTTGTGTTTTGTTTTGTTTTGTTTTACTTCTAAATTTCCATCCGCTTCAATCAGGGCCCTTAAACTGGCTTCCAGTAGCATACATTATAGGTTAAAACCTTCATTCAACTCTATATAGTTGTAAAAAGTAGGTATATATGATGGAAAGATGTCTCAGAAATGCCATCTTCATAAAAGCAAGTGGTCTATTTTTTTCCATTCTTAAGGTATAAAAACTTCATATACTTTCTGATGTCTAGAAAACATCTGGGAGGAAACAAAGGCATTGTTAATGTGTCTCTGGAAATATCTATGGGAAGTTGAAGGGCAGAGAAGGAGACCTTTACCGTTTCTATAAACACAATACTGTTTGAAGCTTTTTTACTATAAGCACATATTTATTTTGCAATCAATTAAAATGAAGGTAATTTGAAGTCTTCAAGTCTTAGCTCTACTTTAATGGATATAGTAAGGTATATGGCAAATAATCACTTATATTTGATAATACCTCCTTCTCGAAGTTTCCATCCCTATGCAGTATGGATTGTTTCTGCTTCAACACAGGACTATTTTCTCATGAGTCTCTCTGGGGGAAAAAGGTTTATGTGGATAGAGTCCTCTGACACATTTAAACATCTTTTAAACGTTAAGCTAAGGTTGTTTTTTTTTTTTCCTTCCAGAAAGAGCTTAGTTATATAAAGTTAAGACCTTCCTCCTGTTTTGCAGAAGTAAGGCAATAAAGACCTCCTATAATATTAAAGTAGTGTTTTTCCAAGAAAAGCAGAAGTTGTTTTTAGTGGAGTAATTTCCCTCTGACCCTTTAACAGGATATGTATACAGTTCATGATGAAATTATCTTACAGATGAGGAAACCAGAAGATGAAAAACTAGAGAAATTTTGGATAGACTTCAACCTCAGAAGTCAGAGTGTAACTTTTTATATAAACAACACTAAGGTAACTGTGTTTGATTCCTACTTAAACCTAAGTGCTTAGAGATTGTTTATATGCAAATATGTTATGTGCTCATGAATGTAACTTATTTTTTTCCAAGAGTGCTCTGTGGGACTCAGTAAGACTTTTGAAGGAAGCAGTGATTAATTTCAGCATAACAGGTAAGATAATTCCAAACTACCCCACATTTAGTTCTGATTCTAGAGCAGACTTTGTCCTTTGAGGTAGGAGGGAGATGGTAGAGTGTGGTGGAAGGAACACTGCTCAGGGCCAGGATGCAGGGGTACAAAGTTGGGGATTCCTTCACTTTGTGACTTTAGATTCAATTACTTGCTTGGTTTTTTCATTGTAAAAATAGTTACAGTTACTCAAAAACTTTAAAATAGAATCACCATATGTGCCAGCAATTTCACTTCTAGATAGCAGGCTTGAAGAGAGATTGGCATACTGATGTTCATTGCAGTATCATTCACAGTAGCCAAGAGGGAGAAGTGACCCAAATGTCCATCTAAAAAAAAAAAAAAGTGGTATATATGTATGATGGAATACTATTCAGCTTTAAAAGGGAAGGAAAGTCTGACATATGCTACAACATGGATGAACCTTCAGAACATTATCCTAAGTGAATAGGCTAATCAGAAAAACAAATAGTATGATTCCACTTATGAGGTATATTTCAATTAAAGTGATAGGAAGTAGAGTAGTGGTTATCAGGGACCGTGGGGAGGAGGAAATGGGGAGCTGCTATTTAATGGGTAGAGTTTTAGATTAGCAAGATAAAATTCCAGAGATCTGTTGTACAATGATGTAAATATACATACTACTACTGAACAGTATATTTTAAAATGGTTAACATGGTAAATGTTTTATGCCACAATTAAAAAATTGGGAGAAGGAGGGCGGGTACTTATTACCAGAATGGGAATCTCAAGCCAACTCCATGCTGAGCGTGGAGCATGATGTGGGGCTCAGTCTCACCACTGTGAGATCATGACCTGAGCTGAAACCAAGAGTCGGATGATGCTTAACTGATGGAGCCTGCCCCCAAGTTGTTTTCCTGCCTTCTCTCCAGAAGCAGTCAGTGCGCTCTGGGCTCTATCCCAGCCAAGCCCAGTGATGTTTAAAACTCCAGGCTTTAAGGCCTGCTGGTTGTCAGACCTCACAAAATTCAGCCCTTCTCATTTTCCAAGCCAATGGCTTTGGGGAAACGTTCTCCTTGTGTGCTCCCCTGTGTGTTCTCTCTTGCCCTTCATTGAGACCACGGCTCCCTCCCCTCCACAGCACCAGGGAGCCACACATCCCACCTTCTTCAGTGTGGCTTCTTCTCCCTCTCTAGTTATGGAGTTTGTTCTGTCCGTCCTCAGGCCAGTCTTTGGGGTATTTAGCATGATTTGATAGTTATCTAGTCATGTTTGTGGGATGAGATAAGCCTAAGGTCCTCTTATTCCACCACCATCTTTTCTCAACAATGTGCATTCATTTTTTTCTTTAAAATTTTTTTATTATGTTAATCACCATACATCATTAGTTTTTGTTGTAGTGTTCCATGATTCATTGTTTGTGCCTAACACCCAGTGCTCCACGCAGAACGTGCCCTCTTTAATGCCCATCACCAGGCTAACCCCTCCACCCACCCCTTCCCCTCTAGAACCCTCAGTTTGTTTCTCAGAGTCCATCGTCTCTCATGGTTCATCTCCCCCTCCAATTTCCCCCCTTCATTCTTCCCCTCCTGCTATCTTCTTTTTTTTTTTCTTAACATATATTGCATTATTTGTTTCAGAGGTACAGATCTGTGATTCAACAGTCTTGCACAATTCACAGCGCTCACCATAGCACATACCCTCCCCAATGTCTATCACCCAGCCCCCCCATCCCTCCCACCCCACCCCCACTCCAGCAACCCTCAGTTTGTTTCCTGAGATTAAGAATTCCTCATGTCAGTGAGGTCATATGATACATGTCTTTCTCTGATTGACTTATTTCACTCAGCATAACCCCCTCCAGTTCCATCCACGTCGTTGCAAATGGCAAGATCTCATTCCTTTTGATGGCTGCATAATATTCCATTGTGTATATATACCACATCTTCTTTATCCTCAACAATGTGCATTCATAACATCATTCCTCAGATCCTCCAGGGGCCGCACAAGGAGGTCAAAGCAGAGTGCAGAAAGAGCAAGTGTTTGTTTTAAGGTCTCTTTTGTCTGATAGAAATAGTGCTACCTCAGCTTTCTTTTTGCATCCATTTGCATGACAAATACTTTTCCATCCCTTTGCCTTTAATCTGCATGTGTCTTTAGGTCTGAAATGAGTCTCGTAGGCAGCATGTAGATGTGTCTTGCTTCTTTTAATCCATTCTGTCACCTGCTTTTGATTGGAGTGTTTAGTACATTTACATTCAAAGAATTACTGATAGGTATGTACTTATTGCCATTTTGTTATTTGTCTTATGGTTGTTTATGTAATTCTTCTGTGTTTTCTTCTCTTGCTCTTTCAGTTTGCTGGCTTTTTGGAGTCGTATGCTTGGATTCCTTTCTCTTTATTTTTTATAAATCTATTTGTTTATTTTGTTTACCATTAGGTTTAGAACATCTTATACATATAGTAATCTATACTAAGGTGATGGTCTCTTATGTTTGTTTTGTGAATCCCTTGACTCAGTTTTATAGATGTACTTAATTTCACTGCTTTTACGTTTCCCACTTGTCTTACTGTTCCTTTCCACTCAGCGTCTTTTAACATTTTTTGTAGGACTGGTTTAGTAGTCATGAATTCCTTTAACTTTTGTTTCTGGGGAAATTATTTCTCCTTCTATTCTGAATGGTAGCCTTGCTGGACGGAGTGTTCTTGGTTGCAAGATTTTTCTTCTAGCACTTTGAATATATCATGCCACTCTCTCTGGCTTGTAAAATTTCTGCTGAAAAATCAGGTAATAACCTCATGGGGTTTCCTTTGTATGTAACTGTTTTGCTGCTTCTAAAATTCTTTATCACTACTTCTTGCCATTTTAATCATGTATCTTGTTGTGGACCTCCTTGGCTTGATTTTTGTTGGTGACTCTATGCCTCTTGGATCTAGATATGTTTCCTTCCCCAGATTAGGGAAATTTCCAGCTATTATTTCTTCAAATAGATTTTCTGCCCCCTTTTTTCCTCTTCTCCCGGGATTCTTTTTTTTTAATAGATTTTTTTTAAAGATTTTATTTATTTGACAGATCTAGAGAGAGCACAAGTAGGCAGAGCGGCAGGCAGAGGGAGAGAAGGAAGCAGGCTCTCCCCTGAGCAGGGAGCCCAATGTGGGGCTTGATCCCAGGACCCTGGGATCATGACCTGAGCCAAAGGCAGACGCCTAACTGACTGAGCCACCCAGGTGCCCCTCCTTCTGGCATTCTTATAATGTGAATGTTACATTTGGTGGTGTTGCTGAGTTACCTTAGTCTATTTTCATTTTTTATTTTTCTCCTGTTCCACTTGATTGCTTTCCATTACTCTGTCCTCCTCACTGATCTAACCTTCTTCTTTTAATCTACTATTTATTCCATCTAGTGCATTTTTAATTTCAGTTGTTAAGGTCTTCATCTCTGATTGGTTCTTTGTTTTTTTGTCTTTGTTGATGGTCTCACTGAGGTCTCCAACTCTTTTCTCAAATCCAGGGAGTATCTTTAAGACCATTACTTTAAATTTTCTATCAGGAATATTACTTATCTATTTAATTTAGCTCTTGCTGTAATTTTGTTCTTTCATATGAGACTTATTCCTCTGTCTCATTTTGTCTGTGTCTATTTCTATGTGTTAGGAAAGTCAGCTATGTCTCCTGCTCTCGGAAGTAGTGGCCTTATGAAGAAGAGGTCCTGCAGTGCAATGTCCCCTGTTCACTAGAATCTGACACTTCATGAGTATCCCCCTTATTTGTTGCATGTGTCCTATTGTTGTGGCTAAGCCACATTTGCCTTCAGTCCAGTGGTCTGCAGTGGTTCTCTTTCCCTGTTGTGGCAGGTTTTGGTCCCTGTGTTTTTAGTGGGCCTATTTGGGGCAGCCTTGGGCTTGAATTGAGTCAGACCGGGGGTTTGTGAAATGGCATGGTACCAAAGTGCAGGGCACTTTCCCCTTATTGTAGCTTGAGAAGCTTTCATTGGTTGGAGGGGCCTGCAGTCAGACTAGATGTCTGCCCCCGACTCCCCCACAGTGGGACTGGTATATGTGGTTATCTTTCTCTCTCCATAGAGCAGGAGTCACTTTGGAGTGATGGTGGCTCTTGAGGCTGCTTGCATGCTGCTAGGCTTGTGATGCCTCCTTGGATGGGCTCCAGCCAAGGGCATATTAGAGTGAGCCGGTCTTCAGGAGAACGCAGGGGTGGGATGTGTGGTGCCATTGAGTCAGATACATGTTAAAAATTCTATAGTAGCCTGCTGAAAAGGTAAAAAGTAGATCTCAACATACTGTATTTTACCTGATATATCCTAAATATTAATATTTAAGCATGTCATCACTATAAAAAGTGAGCTATTCGGCCTGCTCTTTTTTGTGTGAGTCTTCACAAACTGGTTATGTGTTTCATGCTTATAGCACATATCAGTTTGCACTAGCCGTGTTTCAGGTGTTTAGGGGCCACACATCCAGACCCATGTGTGTCTCAATCTTCTCTTCATTCTCCTCAATCTGTGACCCTTAGTTTTGCCTGTTCTTTCAGGCAGTTTACTCTTTGCTCTCCTGCAGGTTGTGACTGAGCTTGTAGTTACTGTGGCTTATTGTTGAACTCCTTATGAATTTTGGTCTAAACTGTTTCCCAAAACCAATTACTATTTGTCAGAGAGCTATGTCCTAGTAGGAGGCCCTCAAGGAGAATGTTGTCATCTGAGACACAGGTGCCTCCTCCTTAAGTGGAGTCTATTGAAATGAAGGAGGATTATTCCATTTTTGCGTATGGGGAATAGTGATTTTTATTTTGAATTTTTAGCAGTGAGTGACATCTGAGAGAATGAATGTTGTGTCTAATATATTGGGGAGTAAAATACCTGCTGCAGGTGAAAGCTTTGTGTTCAAAAAATGCTCCTTACAAATCAGATTGAATTCTATAGAAGTCAAAATCCTCTCCAGTGCTTTGCTTCTAAGGTAAGTTACTTCCTATCTTTACAAGATCAACCACATAATCATGTTGTGGGTATTTGTATGTATAAACATAGGCACAAATGTGTGTCTAACAAAAATAATTTCAAAGTAACTTTAATTTCTTTTTATCTTATTGCAGAAAAATCTAAACAGTTGACAAATATCCCAGTGCAGTTATTTACAATTATAGAATCTTATAATTTTTTAGTATGTTGATATGCATATGTATACTTTGTTTTTTTGTTAGAAACTGAAAATAGGAAGATCCTCATTATTTGCTTGAAGAAGCCTATTAATATTGGCAACAAAGAAGTGATGAAAATAGAAATCCATTTTGATTTGCAATTCAACATATCACAAGCTTCCACTGAAACTTTAGGAGAAGATAAACAGGTGGCAGATTTAGTTCTTGTTTATTTGAAAATATTTTAGTATGTTTCCCTGTCTAACTTCCTTGTTGGGTTTTGATGTGAATATTTGCTCCAGCTGATAACTTGATCTTCGGAACATCATGTAATAAGAATTGAAAAATCTGGCTTCTAATCCCAGTTCTTTTCATATATTATTGCCTTATGTAGGACACAAAGCCTCTTTCTACCTCAAAATGCTTTATCCCATTTATTGCGAACAGTTAAATTTTCTAGGGTAACATCACAACCTCACCACATTCTTCCTGAAGTTTTGAGGATACTTGCTGTGGCCTTCTTAGCATTTCCTTCTCTCTCTCCAACCCTTGAGAACTGAGGGGGAATTACTCGAAATAGCATCTCTTAGGGAGTTTTACTGAAGTTCTGTCTCCTGGGGTTAAGGTGAAACGGTCTGCACATCTTCTAGACTGCTATGGCCTCCATATCACTAACTATAATGTGTCCTATTTATATACAAGAGCACAATGTCTTGGGAACGCCTGGGTGGCTCAGTTGGTTAAGTGTCTGCCTTCGGATCAAGTCCTGCGTCGGGCTCCCTGCTCAGCAAGGAGTCTGCTTCTCCCTCTGCTTGCCACTCCCCCTGCTTGTGCGGGTGCATGCTCTGACTAAATTTATAAAAAAAAAAAAAAAAATTTAAACCCTTTATTAAAAAGAACAACAAAAAAATAAAACAAAAACACAATGCCTTTATCACTGATGGCAGACAGAGCAAAGATACTTGTGACAAAAAGACCTAAGATACTGTGGTAGTGGCCATTAGAAGGTTGAATTAAGAGGTCAGAGACCAGAGGAAAGAAGCCTAGGGCCCATTTCCTTTTGGCATTGAGTTGTGTATGAAGACCTGTTATATTCTATAAAGTGCTCTGCAGTAGAGTTTCTGAAGACTCACGCCATGAAAAGACCATTTCATGGATGAGGATGAGAAATAGAGTACAATCAGTCACTTAATAAAAAAAAAAAAAATCATGTTACATATGAATTGGCCTAACACTGCTAGACTGGCTGAGGCCCCAAGAGGGAGGGCCTCCAGCTCCTCACCAAGAGGGTTCTTGGTTTTATGGGAGAACGAATTCAAGAGCAAGCCATGTAGAGAAAGGGACAAAGATTTATTAAGTCTAGAAGAAAGAAAGGAGCTCCTTCACAAAGTAGTCTCTCCTCCCAGATGAGGAAGCATACCCTCCCCCCACCCCCTTGTTGCCTCTGACGAAGGGTTTTGTGTGTTTAAAATTACCTAACCGTATAAGGAAGGGCTTTTAACTTTGGGTTTATTATTTACACTTGGCAGTAAGATTAACTTCTTCTAATTTATGTTTGTTGTGTTTGTTGTTGAGTTTACTCCTCTTTTAAGGTCATGGGGATTTTGGCTTACATTTCAGATGTTGCCTGACCAGACAAGAAGCTCCTCAGAACTTTCTGGTAAACTTGAGAAAGAAGACCCTGACATTCTTAGCAGCCTTGAAAGAGAGACAGGTAACAGGGTAGTAACGTTTTGTACTCTGAATTCCTTTTAAAAACAATAAAACCTTACTTGGAAGAGATCACTGCAAGCCTGTGGTGCATGAGAGTAAGAAATATGCCATTGTACCTGCAGAGAACAAAGTTGGTAGCCACCTTGAGTCATTTTCCCTACCCAATACATTGTCTTATGGGTCAATTGGAAATGACAAAGGAGAAAAAATGATAGTCATGGCTGGAGGCAGAAGATTGGGGCATGGAAGAGCCTAGCTACCTATAGAGCCGACCCTGAACAGATCCTGTATCTCTTGGGAGTTACATCCCAAAGCTGTTTCTCAAAGTGCCCACAGATTTTGGATTTGGGAGTTTAACGTAGGATGTAATTACCAGATCTTACCAATAGATGGCGATGTACCTGCAGTGTGGGGTCCCCTGAAGAGCAATTGGAGAATGTGTTCACTGTGGTGCATGGTTATTGTTACCACTTTTAATGCTCTGTTCTCTGTGTATAGACCAGAAAGAAGAATCCACCAAGCTGGCAGAGTTAATGAGTGCCAGAGATGACCATTGCCCAATAACTCTCCCCTTAAATGACCAGTCTGAACCTGTGAGTATGGGATGCTGGGTATAAGATTCTGAACTGTGTCTACCAGGATGCTGACAGGGGGAAGTCACCTCTCCTGGCTTGTAGTCTATTTTTTCCCCCTAACCAGCTATTTCTCCATTTTTTTGGACCATCCTCTCCTTTAGATCACTTTTGCCTGACATGTTTATACGTTCTCTTCTTTCACACAACTTGGCTCTCCCATGGAATGTGTGACTTGGCTGGCTCTGCCTCATTCCCTCACTTGGGATCTGAAGACCAAGATATAGGGAAAAGAGTCTGATATTTGCAGTCAGACCTGGTTTTCACTTACTAGATATAGGAACTTGGGAAAGTTAATATCGCTGAGTCTGAGGCTTCTCATCTATAAAATGGAGGTAATAGCTGGTTCATGCTGTAACCCTCTTAGATACTATACATTTTGTTTTTAATCCTAACATACTGTTGGCATATACAGATATTCAGACCAGTCCTCATTTTCTTATATTTGATTACATGGACATTATACAGAAGAGTAACGATAGTGTTTTTGGAACTGACAAATCTGAGGGCAGAAAAATAATTTTTTTTGCAGCAGCCAACAGTCATTAGGAGTCAAGTCTAATGAATAAAAAGGCTGGTATATTAGTATTTAGTAGAAATGCTTTTCTTTGAATATGTAACATGACTCCAAAAGAATTTTATAAGAGGGACTTCAGAATCACCATAATTTTTTTTTCTACAGCAAACAAATACAGCAGATAGTTCACCTGAAAAATTGAAACTGGATGACCTACAACAAGGTCAGATTTTTTAAAAAAATCTATCACAAGACTTGAGTAGTATACTTAAATGTTTGAGAAGCTTAACAATTTTTGTTAATTTTCATGATTGGAAGTCACTTCAAAACATGAATATTCTTCAGATTTACAAGAACCGTCAGTGAAAATTCAGGATCCTAAATTAAATGACAAATCTAGGTATGCGATTTTTTCAAAATTAATAAACCATGTTGATTGCTATTAATGTGACTAGTTAATGTATAAGTCAACTGTCTTTCCATCTTCATCTGGCCACTTGCCACACGAGGAGAGAACATTGTGTGCAGTGTTCTGTGGAATGATTTGAGCAGGGCTGGGATGTTCTGACCTACAGGTCTCTACCATTATACCCCCAATGATATGCTTGGTGATGGAGTTTTCCCCAGCCAGGAAACATGTATCACCTGGCATTAACTTGCTACTTTTCCATGTAGGCCTATGAAGAATGGGTCATAGGACAAGTAATTTTTTATAGCTTTATATAGAGAGACAATTGGAATAAACTGTGCATATTTAAAGTATGCCATTTGAGTTTTGACATATGTCTATACCAAGGACCATCACTACAATCAAGATAATGTACCTATCCAACATCTCCAAGATATTCTTGCCCCTTTGAAATTCTTCCCTCCTGCCCTTTCTGTCCCCCTTACCTGCCCCTTGCAATCACTGATCATCTTTTTGCAACAATAGATGAGTTTGCAATTTAAAAATCTGATACAGGGCCACCTGGGTGGCTCGGTCATTAAGCGTCTGCCTACGGCTCAGGTCATGATCCCAGGGTCCTGGGATTGAGCCCCGCATTGGGCTCCATGCTCAGCGGGAAGCCTGCTTCTCCCTCTCCCACTCCCCCTGCTTGTGTTCCTGCTCTTGCTATCTCTCTCTCTCAAATAAAAATCTTTAAAAAAAAAAAAAAAAAAGTCTGATATAAATGGAATCAAAGAGCATGTACTTTTTTTTTGTCTACCAGCTTCTTTCATTCAGCATAATTATTTTGAGGTTTATCCATATTATGTGTATCAATAGTTCATTCTTCTATATTGACAAGTAATAGTTCCCTCATGGATATACCACAGTTTGTTGATCCATTCACCCACTGATGGTCATTTGAGGTCCCAGTTTTTTTGTTTTTTGTTTTTTTTTAAGTAAAGCATTTGGGATCATATTTAAGACTTTGTATGGATGTGTATTTTCTCTTGAGTAAATACATAGGAGTGGAACGACTGGATCATTGCTGGTGTATGTTTAACTTCTAAAAAACCAAAAAACAGCCCCTGCCAAAACGTTTTCTAAAGTGGTTAAACCATTTAACATTCCCACCAAGTCTTCGAGAGTTCTAGTTCCTCACATTCTTGTTAATACTTGGTAATGTTAGTCTTTTTAATCTTAGCCATTCCAGTGGAAATGTTGTGATATTTCATTGTGGTTTTGATTTGCATTCCTGTAATGACTAATGGTGTTGAACATCTTTTCATGTATTTTCCATCTTTCTCTCTTTCTCTCTCTTCTTAGGTAATATATCTTCAAATCTTTCACTATTAAAAATACATTATTTGCTTTGAGTTAAAAGTGTTCTTTATATATTCTATATATATAGAAGTCCTTTATTAGATATGTTTTACATTTTCTCCCTGTGGCTTACCTTTTTATTTTTATAAGTGTCTTTTTTTTAATCTTTCATGCGTAATTATTGAAGGCCTGCTGTACATAGCTAATACAGCTTATTGTTAGACACCTAATAACCTTTACTAAATGCATCCAATTCCATATATTACTCAGTCTTCACCATATTCCTAAGGAATGTATTATTTTTACCTCCATTTGCTAAAGGAGGAAATGAAGACAACAGAACTTACTCAAGGACATATCCCTAGAAAGTGTTGGCTTAACTATGTCTTTAAAGAGCAAAATTTCTTAGTTTTTATTAAGCTCAGTTGATTTTTTTTTTTCTTTTATACTTTAGGCTTTTCTTTGGTGATGTGTGTAAGAAAACTTAGGCAAACTCATGATCAGTTCCCACGTTTTCTTTTTTCCCTACATTTTCTTCTAGGAGTTCTATAGTTCTAGATCTTATTTCAGTTATGAATCATTTTGTATTTTTATATTGTGTGAAAAAAGGGTTTTTTTCCCCCTTCTTTCTCTCCCGTCCCTCCCCTTCCTTTTCTTTCACATGGCTGTCCAATTATTCCAGATCATTTATTGAAACAATTATTTTTCCCCCATTGAGTTTTCCTGGAAACTTTGAAGAAATCATTTGACCATGTACGTGTAGCTCTATTTCTGGACTGCGTACAGGCATGACTTTGAGATACTGCAAATTCAGTTCCAGATCACTACAATAAAGGGAATATTGCAATAAAGCAAGTCAAATGACTTGGCTTCCCAGTGCATACAAAGGTTAGGATTACATTATACTGTAGTCTATTAAGTATGCAATAGCATCATATAGACCCACACTGTATATACTTTAAGTATTTTATTGCTTAAAAATGCTATCTGAGCTTTAAGTGAATCAATCTTTTTGCTGATAGTGGCTCTTGCCTCCATGTTGATGCCGGTCAGAGTGGTGGTTCCTGAAGATGGGGTGACTGGCGATTTATTTAGATAGGGCAACAATGAAGTTTGCCACATTGACACTTCCTTTCATGAACAATTTCTCTGCAGCATGAGATGCTCTTTAATAGCAGTTAACTCACAGTAAAACTTCTCTCAAAGTTGGAGTCAACCCAGTCGAACCAAATCCTGCTGCTTTATTAACTAAGCTTATATAATATTCTAAATCCTTTGTTGATATCTCAAGGATCTTCATAAACCTCTTCACCATGAATAGATTCCATCTAAAGAAACCACTTTCTTTGCTCATTCATAAGAAGCAACACCTCATCTGTTCAAGTTTTAATATGAGATTCCAGCAGCTGAGTCCCATCTTCAAGCTCCACTTCTCATTCTCTTGCTATATCCATCACATCTGCAGTTACTTCTCCCACTAGAATCTTGAGCCCTTCAAAGTCATCCATGAGGATTGGAATCAACTTCTTCCAAACTTCTGTTAATGTTGATATTTTAACCTCTTCCCATGAATCATGAATGGTATTACTGGCATCTAGAATAGTGAATCCTTTCTAGAAGGTTTTCAATTGACTTTTCCCAGATACATCAGAGAAATCAATATCCATGGCAGCCATTGCCTTAGGAAATACATTCTTAAATAAGACTAAAGTTGAAATGACTCCTTGACCTATGGGTTGAAGAATGACATTGTTAGCAGGCCTGAAAAGACATTTATCTTGTTGCTCATCTCCACCAGAGCTCTTGGGTGACCAGGTATACAGTCAGTGGGCAGTGATATTTTGAAAGGAATCTTTTCTTCTGAGAAGCAAGTCTCAACAGTGGGCTTAAAATATTCAGTAAACCATGTTATAAACAGATGTGCTGTCATCCAGGCTTTGTTCCATTTATAGAGCATAAGCAGAGTAGATCTAAAAATTCTTAAGGGCTCTGGGAGTTTGGAGTGCTAAATGAACATTGCCTTTAAGTTAAAATCAGCAGCTGTATTATTCCCTAACAGGAGACTCAGCCTGTCTTTTGAAACCAGGAATTGAGTTTTCCTCTCTAGCTTTAAAAGTCCTAGATGGCATCTTCTTCCAAATGAAGGCTGTGTCTACATTGAAAACCTGTTTAGTGTAGCCACCTTCAGTAACTATTTTAGCTAGATCTTCTAGATAACTTACTGCAGCTTCTACATCAGAACCCGCTGCTTTACCTTACACTTTTATATTATGGAGATGTTCCCCCCCCCCCCGCCCACCCTTAAATCTCATGAACCAACTTCTGGTAGATTCTACTTTTTCTCTTGAAGCTTTCTCAGCTCTCTAAGCCATCATGGCTTAAAGGAATGTTGTGGCTGGTTTGATCTTCTAACTAAACCACTAAAATTTTCTCCATGTATGCAAAAGACTTTTGCGCTTTTTTTGTCATTTCTGTGTTCACTGGAATACCACTTTTAATTTCCTTCCAGAAGTTTTCCTTTATATTCACAATTTGGCTAACTGATGCAAGAGGCCTAGCACTGAGCCTGTCTCAACTTTCAACAGCTGTCCCTCACTAAGTTTAATCATTTCTAGCTTTTGATTTAAAGTGGGAGACCTGCAACTCTTTCTTTCACTTGAACACTTAGGGGCCATTATAGGGTTATTGGCCTAATTTCAATATTGTTGTGTCTCAGAATAGGGAGGCCTGA